GTTCAACTTGGTTTTTGATGTCTCTTTATTAATTTATTGAATGCAATAAGGGTTGCCAGCTGGGCTTTTAGCTTTTGTTTTTTTCCTTTTTTTCTTTTCCTAATCTATGTAATGATATCACTTAGAAAGTTTTGTCCGACCGCATTCATGAACAATGATCCCAGTTTGGATCAAAATTTGGTTTTCATGGCTTGACTAAATGCCAGGTTGTGCAGTTGAAATCAGGGGATTCTTCTTTTTAGATGGCATTTTTTCTCAAGTTTTGCTATGTTTAGAACTTGGGGAATGGTCCTGTGTTTTTTCAAAACAAGTCTTGTGGTGATTATAGCTCTTAACCATCCGATTAGAAGCCAATATCAAGATTAAAGAACAACATTGAGAATACAGGATTCATTCTCGAAATTGGGTTTATTGGACAGCTTAGGAACTAAAATCACTACAAGGCCATGAATCTAATATGCACAGCATCATTCCCCTTAAAATTTTAAGCCATGTTATATGCTTGCATATCAAAGGCAGGTAATGTCATTTGTTTGAAGGGAACATTTTTATCCGGATGCATGTATTTCTGCAATTAATTGGTTTTTAACTACCATTTTGGTCTGCAAAATATAAAATTTTGTAAATGCGGACATGATTTGGTCCAATATTGGTCCAGGAGACTAAAAGTGGAACCCAAATGTCCTTTGAATTTATTTTTTCATTTTGATGCTGAGTTTTGAACGGGGGATTAATTTGATTATAGGGATATAAAAGCTTAAAGCATGTTTCGAGCCACAAAAGTTGGCACTCCGCACCCAGAAAATCCACATTTCCACTTTCGAGTGGGGCACCCAAGGAAAGGGTCTGGGTTGTGTTGTAACGGCTGTAGCATTCTCATACCACGTTGTGGTTTTCAATCCTGCTGACACCATGCATTGAAACCTTCACAAAAAGCTAACTCCATGATCTATCTGAAAAAAGGGATAGGACTTGTCTACCCATTGAATTACCTTAAAAAAAAAAAAACAAAGAGAGTATGGGGCACCTTAAACCCTTAGGGCCTTTTTGATAATAGGAAGTTAAGGGGAGGAAGATATTGTACAACACTTGTATTTGATGTATGGAACTTATACAGTAAAGAAGTCTCTCCAGAACTTCCATACTCTCTTGTGCTTAAAAAAAAAGTTCCATCTAAAATAGATGAACTTAAAAAAAAAAATTGCCTTGAAGATGAAGATGGCTTCTTCCTCAAATCTTGTTATGTCTCTCTTCTTATATTTATAGGGAAAATATAGACTGAGACCATTTACCTTTGGTACAAAGTGAGACATTAATCTTGACCATTTGATGTGAAATTGGGTGGCGCCAATTATTCCATTGATCAAGCTCAAACTTCAAATAATTTTTCTTGAACTTTGTAACACATCCAAGCTATCAAACTTCACATCGGATGGCTGTAAGTAATTGTGATCATTTTGTATCAAAGGTAAATGGTCTCATTGTATACAATCTCATATTTATATTTGTATTTATATTGTTATTTTAGATTTATATTATATTATCTATATTTCATATTTATATTATATTATATTATCTATATTTCATATTTATATTATATTATATTATCTATATTTCATATTTGTATTATAGTAATAATATAATATATTTTATTAATTTATATTTGTATTATACGTAATATAATATATTTATGTATTATATATTTTATTATATAAATATATTGTATTATATAATTGTTTACAACGAAAAATCAGATAGATCTTCGACTGACGATCCTTTAGTTCTGAATACTACAAACTCGTTTTTATAAGACTTGATAAAGAGTGTAGTCATTCAAATTCCAATCTAAGGGCATATCTATTAAAAAATAAACAGATTTGCTCTCATATCAGCAGCAGAGCTGACATCGATTCTATGCACAAAATCCTAAAAGAATAGCATTGAAAACTAAATAAATTTAATCAATAAATAAAGCATAGAGGATAAATATTACCTGGCCTGGCTAGTTGGCTCGAAACACCAGAGGCTTCAAGGCCTCGCCCGTATCAGGACCGCGGCTATGATTTACACTGTACGTCCTATGTATCTTCTTCAAACTCTTGGTTGAATGGGATTTTCTTGGATCTAAGATTGAAGGTTGTAGGCTAGAGTTTAATGGCCTAGGTTTTTTCTAGGAACTGTCTAAGTCTAGGACTTTTCTAGTATCAATGTTCTTTCTTTGGGTTCTGGGCACACTCTTACTGTCTAACCACAAAATGGTTGACAAAAACTTATTTTTAAAGGCCCAAAATTGGCTGGAATGGATATATTCTAATAACAAAAAGATATGCTAGGATTCTAGATCACTATGGAGACTATGGACTACGATGTTCTATGATTCAGAGATATTATAGAATAATATGGTCCTAAGAGTTGTCTAAAACTAAGAAAATCATTGAATTTGCCAATTTTTAAAAATAGGGTGTCTACAGTAATTTATTTTATTTATGTAATATATATTTACAATAGTATATATAATGCAAATTATATTAATAAAATAAATAGGTAGTACAATATATTATATGTTATATTATGTTAAATATATTATATATTATATTATGTTAAATATATTATATTATGTTAAATATATTATATATTATATTATGTTAAATATATTATATATTTATATTTAAATTATTAATATATATTTGAATATATTCAATATATATTTATAGGGTTATGTTACAGTGCTCACAATATTGAACATTTTATAATTGCACTCAATAAATTTTGGACATTTATATATCATTATTTTGCAATATAATTTTTTTTAGTAAGGTTATTTTTAGTTGTAAGTCAGGGTGTAATATTATCCACATAGGGTGACATCATCCGCAGCACACTGGTGACATTTAATACTTATCATCCGCAGCACACTAGTGACAGTTAATACTCGATGTAGGTGTTATCACACCCTCCTAGATGATGTCATACCCCTCATAATGACCAAAAATACCCTAAGTAAAAAATTATTGCATTACAAAACAAGGGTATATAAGTATCCAAAATTTATAAAGTACAATTATAAAATGCTTTATATGAGCACCCTAACATAACTCATATTTATATTATCTAATGGAAAAAGTTATCAATATATGAGCCCAATGGCCCATATTAAATTTGGGCCGATTTAAAGAATCACGGATGTTCGGTAGTGTTTAAATTTTAATTTTTTTTTTCTACAAATCCAAATCACTTGAAATTTTACAAATGTATTTATAAAAAATAGTTGAATCTTCAAAAAATATCAAAAAAATACTTTACATTAAATAAATTGACCAAAATACCCCAAAAAAGATTTGGGGGTATTTTGATCATTTTGTTTTTTGTGAATAGTTTTTTTATATTTTTATTAGGTGCGTCTTGATGAGAAAAGTACACTTCTAAAATTTCAAGTGATTTAGATTTGTAGAAAAAAAATTAAAATTCAAACACGAAATGAGGTCGTAGTCTTGGCCGTCAGATCGGCTCAGATTCAATCTAGGCCGTTGGGCTCATATGTTCATATGAGCTAGTGGGCTAATCCCAACTTTTTCCTTATATAATATGATTAATGATTTTATGAGATCCTCCCACACCCATGTGTGTAGGACCCCAAAGCATCACCATTAAATTTGGCGTAAATATCTAGAAAAGTCGTGTCCTACACCCATGTGATAACTTTTCCAGAGATCTGTGCCAAATTTAATGGTGATCATTTGGAGTCCTACACTCTTATAATATATATATTTATGTAATATAATTTATTTATATAGAGTAATGATCCTATGAGACCGACCCTATTATATGTGTATAGGACCTTAAATGATCATCATTAAATTTGACACACATCTATAGAAAAGTTGTCACATGGGTGTGAGACTTGACTTTTCTAGATATCTGTGCCAAATTTAATGATGATCTTTTGAGGTTCTACACACATGGATGTGGGACAGTCTCACAAGTTCATTTCTCATTTATATAATATAATTTATTTATGTAATAGATATTTACAATATTATATATAATACAAATATGTTTATATAATATACTTTATTTATGAAGTTGATATTTACAATATTACATATAATACAAATGTATATTAATAAAATAACTATAAAATATACTATATTATATATTATATTACATTACATAATAAATAGATAAAATATATTACATTACCTAATAAATGATATATTTATTTATGTAATAGATATATACAATATTATATAAAATAAATATATATATATATTAATACAATAAATATGAAATACACTATATTATATATAGAAAAGTATAATGAGATCATTTATATTTAGATCAAGGTGGTCACAATTAATTTTGACTATTCAACGTAATATTAGATGACTGAATTTATTACATTCATCAAGTTCAAACTTCAAAAGATATTTTCTCGAACTTTGTGACGTATCCAAGCTATTAGATTTTACATCGGATGGTGGTAAGTAATTGTGACCTCCTTGGATCAAATATCTCATTAGTATACACTCCTTACTCGAGATTTTAGAGTTAAACTTCAAGAGTCTTAACCAAAATCCGAAATATTCCATTTCTCACTCATTTTTTCACCAAATTCATAAAAATCTATTCCAAAATGTTCCAATCATATTGATCTACAAGTAACCTGACAACATTTTTTGAGTAAAAAACTAAAATTTTGTAAGATCATTTTTTTGCTATATTTAGTCATTGTATTACCAAAACGTTTTTTTATTTTAATTTTTTATTTGACTCAGAGCACTTATTGAATAAAATCAAATACTTGGATTTAATTTTACCATTTCATGTATTTTTTTCTTTATTATTATTATTATTTGGTTGTTTTCCCTCTATTTTCAATTCTTGTAGAAGTCGCCCAATTGCTGTTGTCGACTCTGACCCAGAAGTTACCCGGTTCGTGGACCGGAGCCGCAGTTACCGGCGCTGTGCCTCTCACCCTTTTAAACTCGCATTAATCTTTGGATTCTTTTTCAGAAGCCCTTCGGCCCAGATTCTTTGTGCCCAGAACTCCAATTGCTTTGGACCCTTGCGTCTCTCTCTCTAAACTCACGCTCTCTCTCTCTCTCTGAACTCAAGCACATGCCAGATCTGTATCACCCTTGTATCTGAGATTTCGAAAGAGAAATCCATGGCTAATATCATGGGTTTCTTCTTAGTTCTCCTCTCTCTGACCTTGTCCTTGTATCCCAGTTGTGCCCTTTATGAAGATCAAGTTGGAATCATGGACTGGTATGTTACCTCTCTCTCTCCCTCTCTACTTTCACTTGCATATTGGTTTCTCTTTCATCTCTCTAATATCAGTTGCACTAAAGTTTCTCTCTCATCTTACAAATTTCATTGTCACCTCTGTAATTGATTTTTTTTTCCTGTTTGTGCTTTTATCTTCAATTTTGGGCAAAACCATGGTATTTATGACGCTGAAATCATCAAATTGGACTGAAAATTCGAGTGTAAGAGGGGCCTATCAATGGAGTTTATTGCAATGGACTGAGGGTTATGAGTAGAGATGTGCTTTTTAGCCCTTAGCAGTGATTTTGGGTTTTGATTTTTGCTTCCCGTTGAAATAATTATTTGCCATGTTTTTGTTTATAAAGGTGTGATAATTGGGATTGAGATAGATTTTTAGAATTTACTTATATAGAAAGAAAAGTCACAGCTGTGTAGATTAGGGTGTGTTTAACATATGGGGATTGGAACTCTCTCTCTCTCCCTCTCTCTCTCTCTCTCTCTCAATCTATCTATCTATCTATCTATCTTCAATCTATCTCACTGTGATAATTGCTTCTTCTTTTTTTGGCAGTTTTTTATTGAATTGTTTTAAACTCTACTGGTTTATACATTCATTCTATGAGTTTTTTATTGTCTCAATTTCCATTTGAGGTTTGTTTTCTAATCACTCATGCTTAGTAGGCTTTCAGTTTTGTTCCTGTCTGTGTATAGAAGTAGAGTCGAAACAAGTATCTAGATTTCAAATGGGACGATAAATAGTTGTTGAATTTCACTTGAACCTTGTCTCTTGTTTATTGGCTCTCTCTTTCTCACTATCTGTTTCGACCTACCTACCTACCTACCTATCTATCTATCTATCTATCTATGAATCTATTTGCTAGCATTTTATTGAGATGATTTTGGGCTGTAGAACTTTTTATTGCATGAATCTTTTGATATATATCCTTATAATAATGTTGTACTAATTGGCAATTTGCTATGTAAGGTTCTTCACCATGGTCGCATGGAATCGCTTTGCAATCTGTACTTGTCTGAGTAAACTGGATTTTTCTCTTTAATTTTTCGCCTGCCCATTTGCTATATAGCTGCCATGTGTTGCACTCAATGAATTTCATTATTTGCTCATGAAAAGTCTTTAAATAAATTTATTTTTAAGAATAAAGTTCAATTAATATTTGTTTGAAGTTTTGAACCAATTTATATGAGGATTGAGGTTTGCTTTCTCCAACCTAGTAACTTTGTCATTTCTTTTTGTGCCTTTGTGCATGTATGCATTCATGTTGCTTTTTTTTATTTGATCGTTAACATCGGTGATGGAGTTGTATACATCAACATACACTGAATGGTGTGGATAAACAAATGCGTATACCAGAGAACAAGATTAGAATACTAGAAGGATCAATTCCCATATTAGTTGTGTGTCTTTGTATGGCAAGGCTTGAGCTGCTCATGGTGTGGCTGCAGGTGACTGCTGACCACTAAACATTCATTGGTCACGTCCAAGTGAGAGCAACTATAAAGTTCCTTATGAAAGAGGACCCAAGATAAAATCGAGCCCTTGATCCTCTCAAGAACTGTACATCCTTCTATCTCTACCTTCAGATATTCTTTGGTCTATTTCCAGCCAAATACCCAAAAAATTTGTGAGGGGGCATAAACATCTAGATTCTTTCACATTTATAGGAAAGGATACCTATGTGACCTGGACTCATGTATCCAACACTTGGAGACTTAGACATTTCTGCTTGCTGCTTGCTTTATTGAAATGTCATTATGTAATTCCTTAAGCTTTCTGACCTCCTCTAAATGATTTATGATTTTTTCGTGTCTGAAAGGTTAATTTTGGTTTGGAGGTTTTGATTATCCTGTTCAGGCACTGACACATGAGTCCATGTTGTTGTAACACGGGACAAAACACTTGACTCCAGCTCTGGATTAGCAGTCGAGGGGGAATTACCCACCTACCACTTGAACGATGAGGGGAAAGAGGACCAAATATACCTGGAAAATGCAGATTGAGATAAGTGATTTTCAAGCTCCCCTTGACAATGTGGTATATTGGACAAAAACAAGACAGATTTAGAGGAAAGGCCTGAATCCTCATGGTGCCAAATTAGATGAATTAGTGCTCTAGTAACCTAAGGAACTGGATGAACTTCTTAAGCTCAGGCTCACTAAGTTACTTTGCTGGAACTATTAGAATTAACTACCCTTTTTCATTGGTTACCTAGGTCCGCCACCAACCTTCAATACCATTTGCCGAGAAGGGTGCTATTGACTGTTATAATGGATAGAAACTTAGGATTCTATCCCCCCTCATGATGAGATCTTCATGTTTTCTCTATTTCCCTGCCAAAGATATTGCTGTTGTATGCACTGAAACTTCTCTTTGACCCCTGTCAGAATATCCTTAGGAATGTCATGTAATAAACTGGATGGAGCAAAGGGTCATGCAATACCGTACCCCCTAGTTGTTTGGGTTTAGAGGCCGTTGTCTCAACCATCACATAGTGTATTTTGATCCTGAACTTACCAGTCCTTAACCTTGCTGTTTAAGAGAAAAGCCTGTCCTCATTATTATTTTTGTTATTTTCTCTATATAGTAATTTATGATTGTGCGTGTGTATGTGTTTCTGAGTGTGTGTGAGTGAAAATTTCATCCGCCTAAGAGTGGACCAGAGCAAGTACCTTCCCCCTATTTTTGGGGCCTTAGGGCATTTCTTTTGTTTAAAATTTGGGACGATGATCCTCTTGTCCTGGCAAAGAAGATCATGAAAAAAATTAGAAAAAAAAACCAGAAAATGTTTTTTTAGGAGAGAGAAGATGCAATGAATAGGAGCCGTTCCTTGAAGGAAAGAAAAAAATGGTATTAGATCGAGATCCTGGGGGGTTTATTTATCCCAAATTGTGTAGATTGCCTCGTCACGACCATATGAACGTTGTAGACAAAAGAAAAATTGATATTGAGTTCTTGAAAAGATAGATGCGGCTTGATGGCCTTTGCCCCATGAAATGGATGGCCAGTGCTTATCAAGTCCGGAAATATACTTTTCAGGGTTTCTATTAAAAAAGTCTTTCATGAGCTTCTTCATTGAGGCTGGGAGGATGTCTTTGCCATGTTTGGGGTGAAACAAATACCCCAAAGGCTAAAAAATTGGGCATGGCGGGCCAATGTAGCTGTATGTACCAAGGTGGACAAAATGTTTTCTCTTGACTATTTATAATTTGGGGTTTTATAAATGGATCAAGTTATAATGTGATTGTAGGTAGGCTTTGTGATTTTTGTATTTGATGATCATGCGATCCAATCGTGCAAAGTCCGATTCACGATTTTGAACTCCAAGACTTTAAGCTATGCGAAGGAAGGCATGTGTATCTTATGCGAACGGTTTTTGGCTGAGTGTTGGGGTTTTCATTTTTTCTTTGCAGGCATCAACAGTATATAGGGAAGGTAAATCATGCGGTGTTCCATACTCAAAAACAAGGAAGGAAGCGTGTTGTAGTTGCTACTGACGAGAATATCATTGCTTCTCTCGATCTACGTCGAGGCGACATATGTATGTTCATCTTTGACAACTTCCCTTTTCCGACAAGAGCTTTTGTTATGCATAAAAAATATATTTAGGGCTCAATCTTAGCATTCTACAAGATGTAATATGAATAATTTTATTCTTCTGACAGACTTGATGTGGTCTTTTTATTTGAAAGATTGCTCTTGTTTGTTCTTTAACCCGGAAAAAATAAAAATGAAAAGGATTCTTGGCCTTGTATGTGTAATGTTATTGATTGCTGAGAAATTCATTTGTTTTGCTTAACTGCAGTTTGGAGGCACGTCCTTGGTGATTCTGATGCTGTAAATGACATTGATATTGCTCTTGGAAAATGTAATCATCCTATGAATCTTATTGTTCTTTCTTGCATAGCAGAATAATTTACTGTGAAGTCTATACTGTCAGTTGCTTTCTCAATGCACTTCACAGTTCATATTCAATAGCATGGTCCTAACTTAATAATTTTTCCTTAACTCTAAATGTTATTTAAATTTCAGAAAAAAAGAGATAATTGAGTGATTTTTCTTTCATTTTTTTAGATGTTATTACCCTTTCATCCAGTGGCAGTATTCTGAGAGCATGGAATCTCCCTGATGGGCAGATGATGTGGGAGTCCTTCCTTCAAGGTTCAGGTCCCTCAAAGTCCTTGTTATCTGTATCGGTTAGTAATAAAAATCTCCTATTGCCGTTATAGTATTCTATTGTTTGCTGTGCAAGATTACAATGTTCCGATTTGGAAACAAATTTGGGCTGTACTCGTTTGTAACAAAATGTTTTTCTGATTAGGAAAAAGGAAATATTTCCACTAATAGCTGTTTCTGAATTTTGGTGTTATCCTGCCAAAAGAGGCAAAAAGTTTAATCTTTTGGTGTTGCACAAACTTTTCATTTCATTTTTTTCCCAGATTCTGTTTCACCTTGTTCTATGCAGATGGTTTTCTGAGTATGAGTAATCTATCTAAACCTTTCAGGCTAGCATTCTTGTTTTCAGTGGAGGGTGTCTTCATGCAATTTCTGGCATCGATGGAGATGTTCTTTGGAGAAGAGAACTTAGTGGTGAAAGGTTGGCACTGGAAGCTTAATTGTCACAAACGTTTCTGCATATTCAAGATTTTCATTTTCCATGAAAAATATCACTGAGATATTCGTTCAATGTCTCCCTGACACTTGGGGGATTTCCACAGTCTTGTGGCCTATTTTGTGATTAAATAAATTTTCACTCAAGATTAAAAAAAACAATGAAAGATTTTCCAGTTCATATTGTTATGTGGGGTGTGTGAGTGCTCCTGTGTATGGACACATACACATAGATATGATGAAAATACACATGCTATTTCCCTTAAATTACAAGGAAGTTATCAGAAATTTTCTTCTTGACAAAGGAAAATCCTTAACTATATCAAGTTTCCGAGTAGATCTTCCTTTGTCCCTCTTCTTTGTTCTGTTTTTGATGGATAATTGTTCTTGCTTTTGTATTGCAGCCTAGAGATGCATAAGATTCGCCAGTCACCCAATGGCGAGACCATTTATGCGGCAGGACTTGTTGGGTCCTCACAGTTGGCTTTATATGAATTGAACCCCAAAAATGGAGACATAGTAAACCATAAAATGGCGCTATTTTCAGGAGGCTTTTCAGGAGAGATGTTGTTTCTCTCTGATGGCACACTAGTTGCATTGGATGCCACAAGGTCTACTATAGTCACAGCAAGCTTCAACAACGGAAACCTCGTTTTTCATCAGAGACCTATAATAGAAATTGTGCCTGAATTTTCTGGTTCAGCCAGTCTTTTACCTTCAAGATTCAAGGGTTCTGTTGCTATCAAGACTGATTCTCATGTACTATTGATATTGGTAAGAGAAAATGGGAAGAAAATGGAGACTCTAGATAAGATTGAAGGTCCATCTGCCATTAGTGATGCTCTTCTGTTCTCTGAGGACCAACAGGCTTTTGGGGTGGTTAGGCACGAGCAAGACGTGCTTTCTCTCTCAATTAAACTTGATGGTGGTGGAAACAATGAGTTGATTACGGATAATATCAAGGTTGACGGGCAAAGGGGGCGAGCAGAGATGGTTTTTATTAATAATTATATTCGAACTGACAGGTCTCAAGGGTTCAGGGCTCTGGTTGTTATGGAAGATTACTCATTGATGCTTCTACAACAGGGTAATATTGTTTGGTGTAGGGAAGATGGTCTTGCATCTATTGTGGACACGACGATTTCAGAGTTGCCTTTGGAGAAGGAAGGCGTATCGGTCGCTAACGTGGAGCACAGCCTATTCCAATGGCTCAAGGTATATCTCCCTCTCTCTCTC